TCGGCATGTGTTGCGAGCCGAAGCATTTTTTGGCTTCCGAAGATACCCGAACTCGTCGCCGAACGCTCGTTGAAACCTCTGTTTCCGGATCGACACCCGCCTTTTTCGGAAGCACGGAGCCCCTCCAGCCCCCAGTGTCTCGTGTGCCGCCCTAGCGGCAGCAAGCGATGGACGGCCACCGTGCCTTGTCCGTGCCCGGGGAAAGGCCTAACAGCCGAATTTTTTATTGCTCTTGCAACGACGGGTACCTATACCACCGTGTGGGGGCGCCTATGGTGGACAGCGGATGGGCGTATACGTGTCGGAGCCGTCCGAACTGCCCAGGACGCGCCCAAAGTGACGCGGACGGCGGCCGAATGGCCGTAACGACCCAACATCTATGCATTGCCGACCCTGAGGCGCTGGCTGTGCGCCGCGAAAGGGAGGCCATCATCAGGGCGGCCATGGAATGCCCTCGTCGCCTGGTGGCAGAGGTCATCGCCAACGGCATCCAGAGGTAAGTACTATTCTTGAATTGTTTGAGGCATTTCGGCCGTAATAAGATTCTCCCCGCTTGCTGCAGATTTTTCATTTGGTCCTGTGTGTGTGTGGGGGGGGGGGGGGGATGCAAGACCCGTAGACACTCCTTTAGACACCCTCGGTCCCAGGACTCGCCACCGCTTTGGCCTCTTGCGTCCAAACGCGGCCTCGGGCTGCTTGAAGCGTGATCATGAAGGCCCTCGGCGACGACGAGGTGCCCGCGGCGCGGCGCCCCCAGCTGGCCGGCCAGAACCGCGCGTTTCGCGGGGCTGCTTCCGCGTGCCGACTAGTGACGGCACAGCCACGGCGGCCACGGACACTACGAGGCGGCGCCGAAGGCTAGGAGACGCAATTGTACACGTGCACGGCGGCGGCGACTAAGGCGTGCACAGAGATAGATTTCTGAACCCCGATGAGTAGCCCCTGTATTAACACTTTGCAATTTTCTGTGCAGGTGAACTATCTGGCAGGCAACTGTGTGGGGGACACAAATTACTATGCAACAGGTGGACACATACTTGGCAAGGTGATAAGCACTGAGTGTGGGTTCTCGCTGAACCTGTGGGGGGCGAGAGTCAAGGGAAATGATGTTATTGACCCCTCCTACAACAAAATAGGTTTAGCGAAGGCCTACCCTAATTTGCTTAAGGCTTTGGAACATAAGTGTTCCCACGCAGTGAATGCAAATCAATGATGCTGTGTCGACCTTTGTTTAACACATCTCTTTTTTCCTTTCAGCTGCAGTCAAGAAAATCGTCAATTCAAGTCGGTGCGTCTGCCCCGATGAGAAGCTCTTGTGGTCTAAGATGGGGCGTTGGATATCCAAGAGGGAGCTTAGCAAGGAGCAGGCAAGGAAAATCCCTCAGCCGTGGGTCTTCAGTGAGGAGGCGCAGGCAATATTAGGTAGCAGAAGGCCCGGCGGCAAGGGGAACAACCAGTAATTTTCAAATAATTTAGGTTAAGTTTAATTTAGTTTAATTGTAAATAGTTTGCAGGATAATCGTCAAAGGACAATTCATGTAACGATCAGCGCATGACACATCAATTTAGCTTTGTAAATTTGTCGGTGTTGGTTGTTGAATGGAGGGATGAGTTAGTTTGTTTGCATTAAGAAACGTGTATCAGAATGTTAAAATCGGAGTATTATGGTAAATTGTAAAGTGCCGTAAAGCACCATTATGACTTGAAAGTGAAGTGCACCAGAGGAGTAGATCCATACTTCTTGAAAACTGTCTTTTCAAGTGATAAGTGGTGCCCCTCCGATAACCTTCAATCACATTCAGTAATATCTTGTGGAGAAAACTAGTTTTTACGTTTTTACACGCTAAAACAGTTTTCTGCCAATAAGTCTATGCTTTCCGAAAACTTTGTAGCCAGTGACAAAATTAGTGGGCTGGAGTTACGCCGAATAGGCGACTATTGCATCGTTAGAGGCAACGTAAGTACCCATTCATTCACCTTGTCTTTGTTTTGCCCACCTTATTCTGATGTGGTTTCTATTGATCCCTTTTATTTTCATTTTTGTAGGTGACTCCCGTCATACAAAAACAGAAAAGAACATAGGCAGTCCTGGGTTTTTCTCTACAAGGCTGGGATTGTGGGAAAACCCGGGCATTGCACCTGCATGGCTGGTTTGGGGGAATGCTGCTCTCATGTGGGTGCACTCCTCTTTGCGGGTTTTTCATCTCAAGGAGCAGGGTCTCCTCACCTCAGTCACGGATAAACCAGCTTACTGGGAAAATGCCTTCAAAACCCACTCAACTACCCCTGGGCCCCATTAAAGACATAGACTTCAGCACACAGTTTTCCAGTTGAAAGCGTTAGAAGAAGAAATCTCTGGAAACATGGTGATGTCAAAAATACTAACTAGGGGTACGCGCCGTTTAGTCTGGGCGCGTAGTGTGGCTGAGCGATGCGAATTGACATAGTTGATGCACTTCGGGCTTTGCTTGAGTAGACGAAATGTGCAACTCATGGGCTCAAATTAAGTGAAGAGTAAGTCTGGGGTATAAATGAAAGTGATTTTCGTTATAAGCACACAAAGATCTGTTAAAATCAACGTCAAACTCAATTTATAAATTTTGGACCAAAATTGGGCAAAATTTGGTAAAGCGTGAGTCTGGGAAAAATTTGGAAGTCATTTTTTAGTTAAGCACACCAAAAACTCCAGGAAACAATATAAAACTCGATTTTAAAATTTTGGTCCAAAAAGCCCCATTTTGGATAAAAAATTTAAATCTGGAGTCAAAAAGGAATGTTTTCGTATCAGACCCAAAAAATGCTGGAAACAAGCAAAATCAAATTTAAAAATTTTTGGCCAAAATTTGGGCAAAATTGGTAAGTGTGAGCTGGGAAAATTTGGAAGTCATTTTGAGTTCAGCACACCAAAAACTCCCGGAAAAATTAAAACTCACTTGGGAATTTTTGGGCCAAAATGACCTTGGGGTGAAAAATAGGGCTGGTGTTAAAAAGGGAAATGGTTTTCTAAACAGCACTAAAAAAACTGCAAGAATCAATGTCAATTAAATTTTAAAAAAATTTGCCCAAAATCGGTTAATTTTGGGTCTGGGGACATTTTAGAAGTCAAAATTGAAGTCAGCGCATGAAAACCCAGGGAAAGAAAAAAATCTCAATTGGAAAGTTTCCCCCCAAATTGCTAGCTCTAGTGAAGTGTGGGTTTTGGCATTGAATAAATGTATTTTTTGTGACTAGTACACTGAAATCTCAAAAACCCATCTAGACTCAATTCTGAAACATTTCCTATTTGTCTTCATGAAGCACCCTCTGTCTCCCCAAATTCCCTGATGCCACACCATGGAATCCTTCAGTCGAGTAAATTCAATTGCCAGCATTGAATCGTTTAAATTTGGTACTCGTATGTTGGGTCACTATTCGATATCTCTTTTTTCTAAACTAATGAATTCCAATTTTTTAGTAATATTAAGAAAATTTTGTCATTCTTTCATTGTAACCAGTAATTTAACAATATTGATTGGAATTGTTATCACAGTTAATATTAAGAGATCAGTTTGGGGTTTGGCTGATCTGAACCAGTTACGGGACCAATTTTTGTCAAATCCAGTGAATCGCAATAGATCCAATGCAAACTACAAGGTTAATGACCAACAATTTATCTTACTCAGTTTTGCATTTTTTCTTTGAACATTTTTATTCAAATAAAGTGAAGGATCGCTCCTTAACCAATACTATCCCTTAGTCAAAACTTTTGGGGGTTAAAAATCTTCAAAATCCCCCTTTAATATCACCCCAAAATGATTCTATTACCCATTTATATTTCAAAATCTTAGGAATTAATAAATTTATTTCCATCAAAAATAAAGTTGTGCTTTTCACAGGGATTGGGATTCCGAAAAAATTTTCAAAAAAAAGAAAATTAAAAAAAAAGAGGATTTTTTTCATAGAAAATTTAACAAAAAGAAGCCCCAAAACAAAAGGTAAAATAAAAACATCCTTTTACAATGCTTGTCAAAGTGCACTGACCTGAAGGAGATTCCCCCCAAGGGGGGGGGGGGGAGGGGAACGAAACAAATCATTTCACCCATTCTCCATATTTCGCTTTGTTGTACCCAAAAGGGGTTTAATCATTCTAGAATGTTGAAAAACTAAGGCCGATCTCATTTCCAAACCTTCTGCTCTTTTTTTTGTTTTATTGCTATTTGCTTTGTCCCGTTTTAGAGCCGCGGGCCCAGGTATGAGAAATTGGGAGGTAATGCTGCCAACCTAACATGCTAATAACTGATTCAAAAGATGTTTTGAATATTTCAAACGATACTAAACAAGATTTGAAACAAAATCGTGTTGGGGGAAATAAGGAC